ATGGACCTAAGGAGTAGACACTGCTACAGGTGCTAGAGATACAACAGTAAACAAAACAGAAAAAACTCTATCTTCTGGAGCTGACATTTATGTATGTATGTTTTTATTTTTATTGTTTAAGATGATGTCTCACTCTGTCACCCAGGCTGGAGGGCAGTGGAGATCTCAGCTCACTGCAACCTCCACCTCCCAGGTTCAAGCAACTCTCCCTGCCTCAGCCTCCCTACTAGCTGGGATTACAGGCACGTGCCACTACACCCGGCTAATTATTGTATTTTTAGTAGAGATGGGGTTTCACCATGTTGGTCAGGCTGGTCTTGAACTCCTGACCTCAGGCAATCCACCTGCCTCAGCATCCCAAAGTGCTGGGAATACAGGTGTGAGCCACCATGCCTGGCCTGGAGCTCACAGTTGGATGGGGGATGGAGAAATGGTAGCTTGTGACCCACAGTAAACTAACCAACTAAATAAGTTATATAATATAGAAGGTGACAAGTGCTATATATGGAAGCATAGCACATAGTTAATAGCACAGGTTTCACAGTCCATTGTCTTACATTCCAACTTGGCCACCCACTATCTGTGTGATCTTGGGCAAATTTAACCTTTATCTGTGCCTTGGTTTTCTTATCAGTAAAATGAGAACAATAAAAGCAACACACTATATTGTGCAGGAATTAAATGTATACACATAAAGTGCTTAGAATAGTGCATGCTACTAGTCACTATGGAGAAGTTAACTGTTACGATTATTAAGAAAAATAAAGTAAGAAAGGTGGATAAGGAGTACTGGGGAGGCATCTAATTTTAAGTAGGACAATTAGGGAAGACCTTATAAAAGGTGTTATTTGCTCAAACACCTAAAGAATAATGTAGGTATCTTTGGAAGAGGATTCAAGGCAGAGGGAAAAGAATGTACAGATCTAGGGCAGATGACTGCCTGATATGTTTCAAGAACAGCAAGGGGGTCAGTGTGGTTGAGAAGAACTCAGCAATCAGGGGCCTGGGAAGAGAGAAGATCAGAGATGTTTTTGGAAGGCTGGGGAGGGAAGGGTATGTGTGAGCAGAAAAAATAAAGCCTTTCTTGTGAGTGAGATGACAGGCTATTGGTGATTTTGAGTAGAAAGGTGGCATATCTGTCTTATAGGCACACTTACAGGAGAGCGAGGAAGGAGGAAGGCTCGTTGGAAGGCTACTGCAATAATTCAGGTGAATGATGATGGCGGCATGAGCCAGGATGAGGCAGAGGAGGTAACAGGATCTTGGATATACATATTAGAGTCAACAAGATTTCCTGAAATCGATCTTGGATGTCAGAAGAGGAGGAGTCAAGTATGAAATCAAGGATTCTGGCTGGGGCAACAACAATAGTATAGTAGCCATGAACTAAAATGGGGAAAGCTGTATATGGAGGAGCCTAGGAATTCCGTCTTGGGCATGTTCAGTTTGCCAACTCTACCAACTAAATTACAACTAAAGATGTGGAGTAGGCAGATAATATTCAAATTGAGTTTGAGAGAGAGGTCTGGCCTGGAAGTTGTCAATGCAGAAACAGCAAAGCCATAAAATCAGCTAAGAACATCAAGAAGTCAGCTGTAGGTAGAAAAGAACAAGGACTGAACTCTAGGACGCTTCACTAATTAAAGGCAGAGAGATACAGAAAAACCTGTAGAGGAGACTGAGAGGACACACAGATTCCAGAACTCTTGCCCTGAATCAATCTAGCAACTTCAATTTGGGTTTTGAAGATCTCATCTGGAAAAGGGGACAAATACCACAGCTCAGCATCTGTCCAAGATGAGAATCTAACAGAAAACTCACCCTGCATTAAACTGGAATCCTAAAGGCTACAGCCTTTAAATTGGAATCGTAAAAGGTTACACCCTTTAACCTGGAATCCTAAAGGGCTATACTGTCAGTATAAGGATTAACGAAAACCAAACTCGACACTTCCTCTCCCCTCCACGATCACTCCACATGGGACTGCAAAAAATTTTTTCTTGATGCTGAGCAGAAAACAAAAGAAAACAAAAATTAGTTCCTGAGGGCTGTCAGCGTAAGCCAGCCCTCATGCATAGTTGCAGCCCAAATTTCTATCATCTAGGTGATCCCAAACTATTAGTGCCTCCGGGTGTCTGGCATAAACCAATGCAGACCCTCTCAGCATAAAGGTATCCTCATCCTAGGGCTCTATGAACTTCATACAAGTAATTTTTAAGGATAATAAGAAACATAGTCAAAAATA